CAGCTAGTGATCACTTAGTTGGCATACCACTATGGTGGTATATGGCCAAAAATACGACAATAATGGTATATGGTATATGGTCAGTTTATATGTGGTGCTAAATGCAGTCCTTTTCTCCTCTTCTATGGACTTTCTGCTTTTCCTAGTCCAGCTTCCTTCCATCTCTTCTGGTTCAAAAAACCTTAGAGGCTAGTATGGTACAAGTATTTTTTAGAAAGCCAGGCTTTTTAGTTTTCTGCAAATAATAATAGACACCTTTTCCCTGTTAAAAATGAAAGCTATAATGAAATAAAAATATTAAATATCAAAACACTAGCATCTCAGTTAGCACATCCTAGGAAGGTGTGGCCCCTTGGAAACAAAAGGAGATAGAGCTACATGGCCCAGAGCTTCCAGACAGTCATGAATTATAAATCTGGAAGCTTCTTCATATTTCTCTTTCCTGCTGCTTTACAGGAATAGTATTAAATTGAATTATGTATCTCAGACTGGCTTGGAAACACATGGATTATTAATAATGTTACACTGTTACAAGAACTTGTGAACTTTACAAATGAAAGAGAAGTCTGCACATGTTTTTTACTTCATTTTTCTAACCCAATGCTAGTTGCCTTTTCAGTTTGTTTATTTATTATTTTTTTTTTTTTTGTGGCTGGCTCAGCCCACCCTGGGGGCAAGGCTGGCACAACATGTGGAACCAGGGATCAAACCATGGTCCCTACATGCTTGCTTAAGACTGTTGGGCTATCTCGCCAGCGCTAGCTGCCTTTTGAAACACTTGCTCTAGGCAGGCTGCTCAAGTCATCCCTTAGTCACTTCATCCTTCAACAATTTTTTCACTTAGCAAAATTACAACCAGGTCACAGTCTAATTTAGGTTTCTTCAAGTACCACCAATGGATTCCCTCCTGCTCATTCTTCAGTTCATCTCTACTTCCACAAATTTTATTACTGAGATCTGAAGGTAGCATGTCAATTTTACATGAAATCCCAGGGCCTCGTTTTTGACCAATCTATGGCAGTGAGGTAAAAAGATAAACATTCTAGACAAACTTATGAGGGCCCCGTGTTCCCTACTTCCTGCTGTTTACACTTTTGTACAGTGTCTTTCAAATGATTATAGATGGGAAGAATGACTTGCTTCTAGCCATCAGAACACAGCAAAAGTGGCACAATCCATGTGGCTATACATATTACATAATGGAGATGAGATCTCTTCTCACAACCCTGATGAACTCCCTGTCAATGCTGGGAAGGCCCATGTGGCAACAAACTAAGGGTGGTCTCCAAGTAAGAGCCAGGGAGAAATGTCCGCCTCAGTTAACAGGTCATAAGGACCTGAATGCTGCCAGTGACTATATAAAGCAGCTCCTTCCCCAAATGAATTTCTAACCTTGACAGGGTGTGAAACAGAGGACCCCACTTAGCTGTGGCCAACTGTTGACCCACCATAATTGTGGAAAAAATAAATGTAGATAACTCAAATTATGACACTGTGGTCATACTGTTACGCAGAAACATATACACAAAGAACTTCAGGATGAGAAAGTAATCTCTGACATCTGAGCCTGGTGCCATCAGCAAGACCTTGAGGTTGCCAAGAATGATCCTGCACTCATATCCAGGTTTAGCATTAAATACAAAGCATTTTAAAGAACACTAACAAAAGAGCAGACCACATTGTGACTGCCAGCAGGGATCCTGGAAAAAATACGACCATTCTAATCATATTTGAACATGAACAGAAACACAAACATTGTCCAAAGCATGATGACCAAACATTCCCGTAACTCACCATTATGCACATATAGTTTTAACACTGATTCATTCTGTCTTTTTGGTAAGATTTATTAAGAGTCTTACTCGCAAATATATTTTTACTTGTAGCATTCAACACAGAACAAAGCTCCATATCCTGAAAGCCACCTAACACAAATCTAAATCCTATACTAAGGCCTTTTCGAAGAGTGTCATACTATAGTAACCCACAATTCCACTAGCAGGTGAACTACCTTGTCACAACCAGCAATAAACCCAACCTGTCCAAAAACAGGCGGGTGCCTAGTTAAACACAACTGGTCTTTGTCTGGAAAGCACTGGAAAAAACTAGTACAAGACAAATAATCACATCAAGAAACACTAAAAACATCAACAACTGACTTTATCATGCAACCTGAATGAAAAGAGAAGCATAAATCAGTAAAAGAGAAAGTATTCATTTGTAGTTTAAATTAGACATACAACATGAAGACTAATTGTTTCAAAATGAGTATAAAGATATTGTTTGATAAATAGTATGAACATAAATGAGTAGGAATAACAAAACTAGGATGGATTCCCTGCTTCAGCCTAAATATAAACAAGCTCTAATGAAGGCTAAGTAATTAAACATAATTACTAAAAAAATAGCAAAAAACTAATGGACTACTTTGCCCGATCCATGGAAAGCAATTAACTTCTCACTTGGAAATGATAAAAAGACATGTACTGACTTAATTTAGATACTAATTCTTTCCATATAACGAAAAATAATACAAAAATAAAATAAAGTTCTTGAGAAATAATTGCATCACACTGATAAAATATTTAAATATAGAACAGGTTTATTCAAACTGACAAGGAAAGCATCACCTGTTCCAAAAGATAAATGAGCAAAATCTAACAGACAACTCTCAGGACAAAACAGTAAACAAAAAGATGGAATCATCTTCAGTTCTTAATGGCCCATTTTATACTTACTGGCCAGCAAGTTAGACAAATGAACATCTGAGGAGATGGTGGGGCACACTAGCAAGCCCCTTCACCATTGGTAGTATTTTTACATTGTTACAGTTTATTTTGAATGCAGCACAGAGAAAGAGCCATAATCTAACCATTCAAGGCCAAGGAGCCCTTTCAATTTAAACTACTGGCTCAGATTTCACAGTATTACCTACAAGGCAAATGGAAATCACTTAAAAGATTAATCATAGGGAAATTTTTGATGAACTATGTTATAGTAACACAAATTAGATAGTTGTCAAATGTGAAGCGTAGACTCATGGAAAATGTTTCAGATATGTGATGAAAAAATTAATAAAAATAAAAACAAAAAAAGGTTCTAGGTACAGCTCTCAATGGCATAGTGCTTGCCTAGCATGAGTAAAGCCTTGAGTTCCTTTCCCAGTACTCAAAACAAAACATATAAAACATGCAAATAGCCAAAAAGCTATAGTATGCTGGGCATCAGTTGAGGCATTCGATGCTCACCTGTCATTTAATCTTCAAAAACAACTGCCAGAAAACTAGTATTATTCTCATTTTACAGACAGATACTAGGGCAAAGAGAAGTTAGGTTACTGGCCAAGAGAAGTGGAGATGATACAAAATAAGGTATGAGTACCTGACCTACAATTGCCATGCAAAGTAAAATTATATCCCTGGAAAGAAGTCTGGCATCTCCTTCAGTTCTACTAACTTGATTATGTTCTAGAATAGAATGAGGAAGGCAACAGTGCAGGATCAGTACCAGAATGAAGCCCTCCAAGCTGAGTAGAGACCACTACATAAAGCTAAGAGCAAGCTGAGAAGATGAGACAGACACCCAGAAAATCGAGGAAAGGCACAACTGGCTGGGGAGGGCGGGTAAGATTCCCCCCTTCTGGAGGAAGAGTGGCTAGAAAAGACAGGCACACATCTAAGCAGAGGAGTGATCTCCTGCTTATCTTCCATCTTACCAAAACCAGATCTCTTCTCTGTTAACAACTGGTTAGGTCTGGAGATAGAAATCAGAGCATCTGTGGGAATGCAGGCATGGGAGTGGGCTGGCCTGATCTAGTTATCTTTCCCCCACTCCCAGACAACTAGATTCAGTAATGTGGGAATTAAGGGTGATACAAAGTTACCCCCCACCTTTCAGGTGACTGTGCTCACTGGGGGCAGTCAATTAATCACTGTTTGTCACCATTACATCATCAAACCGTTGTTCTTCTAAACTAAGTACAATTCTTTAACAATTAGTCAAGTCTCAGATGATGCAGATTAGTGGTAAATGGAAAACTGGGGTAAAGAGGAAAGGAAACTGGTGTCTGAGAATGGAATTAGAAAGTTCATGCTAAGAGATATGTACTGGGGGATGGGAAAACTTGCCTCCAGACATTCTGTCCTATTGACTGTCTTGCTTATTAATACCTTTGCTGATTGGACAGAACATAGCCCCAAGTTACAGGCAGCACCCTTTCCCTGACTACACCACATATGCAATCATTTCAGAAGGTCATTTTGCACAGAGTCTGGAGGCAGAACTAATTTGTCATCAAGGCTTCTGAGACAAGGAAAGCAAAGCTAAATGCTTCACTAGACATCAACATTGTAAGGCAGCAGAGTGAGTACGGCTGAAGAAGGAGAGATGTTAAACAATGCCCTGTAAATCTGATCTTACTGATGCTATATCTCAGCCAGACCAGAATCAGTTCTCTGCAAAATGATTAATCACCACCTCTCTGAAATATTCAAGGTCCTCCTGCCTCTTAGGATGGAAAAAAAAAATCTAATGCTGAAATATGACTTTGAGGCTTTTGTTCATTCTATATTCTTTTAATAAAATAGAACAAAAAATTTTGCCTTGGGCTTGGCTGAGTTATGGGGTTTATCTCCTAAGTGGCAAAAAGCTTCATTCCTCAGTCCAATTGCCAAACTGAGCCAGAATTAAAAGAAGCCTTATAGGGGAGAAAAAAATGCCTGTTATACCCTCAGGCTACAATGTATCAAATATGATAACAGCTCTGAAAGACAAATTTTCTCTTCATATTTATAGAAAAATGGGCACTGCAGAACAAAATTAATTTAGCTAATGGGCAAATGCTGATGGCTGTGTGTGGCAAAGCCTGGTTTCTGTTTCTGACAAATGCTGGATGAATTACAATCAGACTCTACAACTTGCAATGGGAAGAACTGGGAAGTGGGAGAACAAAATCTTGGGGAGCTGCCTGAGGCACATATTCCAGGGGCACCAGCACCTACCTTCTCTGCATACTCAGACACAATCTGCTTGATCTCGGCAGAGCAGAGGCCCACGATCTGGCCCACGGAGCTTGCGGTGAGACGGCTCTGCAATCACATAGGGTACATTGTCAAGGTCAGGCCATGTCTTTAACAGAACTGGAAGACCTAAACACTGAGTACTACTGCAAAACAGTAATATTTCCAAGGGAACAATTATTTCCCTTTTGCCCACTTATTCATCATTTAGAAGGAAAAAAAAAGCTGCAGGACACAGAACAAAAGTCAAAGCTACCTTGCTACTCAGCCACTGAGCTGACTGTGTCAGCTTCCCCTCAGGTCCTGGGTACTGCTGGAAACCACTCCTAACACTCCCTGTTACATTTCCAGGCCTCCTGATGGCCACTGAATAAGCCAGTAAGTACTTCATGGGCCCAGACTCAAGGAAGAGGACAGCAAATACTAGACCATAAGAAAGCTCAGAGCCCCAAACATCTCTCTACTGCAAATAAATGATCCAAGTCCTGTACATGGCTAAACCTTCTGGATGGGCTCTGTGTTCTGAAAAGGCTGATATGAACTCTGAATTCCATCTCCTACCTAATGACACCGGAAGGAGGCAGAGGATGGGTGATTCTTTGGGAGAGTGAAATCTATGATTATAAAGAGGCAAGGCTGACCCCTATTTCCAGCAGAGGCCTGCAAGGCAAAACAGGAAACATCCTATGCTCACAAAGGCCCTCAAGTCTCTTCTCACAGGTCTCTGCAGACTGCAATCCTATACATTATAGAATAGCTTCCCAAAAGGGAACCCTAATGAATAAGACATTAATGCTCAAGGGAGACAGTCTCCCTAGGAAGAGGCCTCCCAGAGCAGAACCATGGGAGCCAAATTCTCCTCTACATCTCCCCTCTCCCTTACCCATAGTACTTTACCTCCTCATTTGCCATGGCAGTCATCTTGGTCATCAGTGACTGAATACGCTGCTGAAAGGCGGACAGAAAGAGCAGCAGTGAGTGGCTCTGCCCACATCAGACTGAAGCAAATGCCCCTCTAGGTCTCTGTGATGGCACCCCAGTGTCATTTTCATGACCTGGTTCTATGGCAAGCCACATGGCAGCTGATGAAAGACAACTGGAAGGCATGGAAGACAGCTCCTGGCTAGCCATCTCCTCAAATGACTGCAACCTCAAAGGATCTACACAGAGAACATACCTCTTCAGCTGCTTGAAGCTCTTCTTCTTCATGGACATCTGCTTTTTCTGTAGTTGACAGCCCTGCAGGAAGTGTTTTCTTATCCTCAGCCTACAAAGAAAGATGTAAAAACAGCTGAGTACCAGAGTTGGAAACTCAGCAGAGAAAGGATAATATTGCAAACAGCCATGAGCTTATTAAAGAAAACACACATATAAGGAAAGCTGACTGAGCCCTGAGAGGGAACAGACAATCAGAGCCAAAGCTTGCATTCAAGCAACATAGCACCCACATCATATGAGGCCATTCTAGTGAGCTCTCTCGATCAAAAAGCAGTGATTATAAGCAGTCTTTGATGTCAGATAGACACGGATTTGGATTATTATGGCATTTTAAGGTTGTATCTTCTTGGAAAAAAAATCACTGAGACTCTCTGAGCATCAGCTTTGAAACCCAAAACACAGGAACAAGTATCCTCTTCATAGCACTGTTAAGTGAAATAATGCATGAGGACCTCTTAACAAAGGGCCTGGAACCTAAGGTTCGGCACTGTAAGATCTATTTGTCTCCTCTAGTATACACACAAGTGAACTAATAAACACTTAAGTGAAAACAACTCACTGAGATTCCTTTGCAAACTCAGAAAATCTCATCTTGACTTACTTGGCTGTTTCATGTTCAGCTGTCTTCTGGAGGACAGGCCCGTAATTTACAGTTGTAGGCCATCTTACGCCTAGTACCCTGTTCATACCTGTCCAGAGGCCCTCATTCTGGGACAGGACTCCAGGTTCACATTTTTAGACCCCACATGACCTACTTTCAATTACCTTTCACCTCCAGTACCAGGAGTAAAAGTACCCAGCCTGTGGAGGTGGCAGAATGGAAATACCACGACAGATACACAGGGGCCAAGGGCAGCTGACACATCCCTACCCTCCACCTTACCCAGGACCAGCCACTCCTGCCAGGCTTTCCAGGGAACTGGGTCCCAGGCTGTCAGTGTCTGACAGAGGCGAAAGGGTGATCACTTCTACCTCTGAAATATTCTCCCCCATTATCGATGCTTTTATCTTACCTTCTCTATTTTGTTCTGCCGGCTAAATCCGTATCTCCTGCAGACCACAAAAAGTGGAGTTCAGTGACTACTCAAATATCACAATAAAGTACGTCAAATGCATTCTGGTTTGATTTTTATATGGAAAATACCAAAGAGAATTCAGGCTATTTAGTGCCTGGAGAAAATGTTTCAAATGCCTTTCCCAGAAATACAGTCCACCATTCTTTCAAAGAAGGGCCAGCTATCCTATTTGCCACACATTTACTATAAATGGAGACTTTTAGTTGGCAGAGTATATTTTCCTTAAGTGCCATCATTACTTTTTGAATCAGGAAATGCATTTCAGAGCCACAATGTATGCTAAAAGCCTTCAAAATACCTGTATAAATAGATGTGACTATTTTCTCAAGCCCAACATGCTCTGTAATGCTACTTTCATAACTTCAAATTCAGCACATCACTTTATTTTCAAACATAACCCAAGCATGATGTCAATAATGTACATTCACTTAATATAATTTGAATTAAAGCGCACATGCACACACACACAGAAATACACTTCCATTTTAATTAGTTTACCTTCTGGCTCTAATTAATCTATGTCTTTAAAAAAGCAATTATAATAAAGCAAAAACTATTAAAAAAGAAACATAATGCAAAACACCCAGCCTCACACACTTTAAAGAGCTTGTAAGTAAGTAAAGTTACATGCAACTGCTTAAGAAAAACAAATTACACCTCTCTGTCCCCACACACTCCAAGCCTCACCTGCCTGACCTGTGTGCTGCCTCTATGGTGCTGGAGCCTGCAGCCTCCTTCCCTCCCACCTTCCTGCTCCTTCCTCATCCAACTTCATGGTGCCTGGTGCAGCCCATCACTGGCAGGCCTCTCCTCTCAGGGTAAAGGGGATCTGCTCAGCAGTGCAGTGCAGTGCAGCTTCTCACTGAGAGCCTGTACACTCCTGTTCCAACTACTACCTGCACAGGGAGCTTGTACACACTGTTCTCTCCCTTGTTTCCTGATCTATCCCTCAACTCTCAACCTCAGCTCTAAACCAGCTTTCTTTCCAAAGCACCCAACACACATACATACACACGCCTAGTTACGTATCTGCATCCTTCCTCTTGAGGGTAATGACCCTGCCTTCATATTCTGTCTTCTTTTGTGATGGTGGGGATCAAAATCAAGGCTACATGATGCTAAGGAAGCATACTACTGCAGAGCTACCTTCCAGCCTCTCTTTTACATTTTGTATCTCCAATGCTTACTGAATTAATAAACTAAACATGAATGAAAGATGCAAAAATCAAGATGCTATAAATGTTGCCTGGGCTTTCTGTTATAAGTAGAGACCCTAGCAATGTTTCTGTCCTTCAGGCCCAAAATTGCAGGATTAAAGTACAGCAAACAACTCAGTTTAGGTTTCCACACAGATTCTGTGAGGGGCCTTGGGGCAGACCCTGTGAATTGGTCTAATCAACATCAATTATATCTTCTTGTAGTACTACCGCAGAAGCAGCAAAAGAAGACTTCCGTATTTCTGCCATCCAGGGTTCTGACTACTAACTAGGTCTCACCAATTGGAAGCATTTATTGGAGTTGGGAATGAGGAATAGCTAAATGAGGAGACAAAGAAGGTAGGAAGGATCCACTCAAGGACACTGGATTTGGGGCCAGCAGCTCTCACAATGGTTTTCTGCTCTTGCAGTGAGGGTTTTCTGATTTGGGCACAAGTGGCATGCTACACTATGGGCAGCTGCAGCACCACTCTCCTAATTCTACAGGTTGTTAGCTAGCTTCCTAAGCATGTAGTCAGAAGCACCTCCCTTGGTCCAGCTCTCCTGGGAGGCCTAGGAGATCAGTCTGGTGCACATCACTCCCAGCAATCAATGAAGCCCTCCTGCTGAAACTAGTGTTAAGGCTCTGTTCTCACACAAGGTCTCACCAAAGCTTCCCAATGGTGTCCTTGTATCTAGAACATTCTTTCCATTTCCAAGAAACGTTCTTCCCTCTTTAGTCTTTGGAGACCCTTGGGGCAGAGGACATATCCTCGGATAATGATAATTCTCCAAATGGAGCAATAAACAACTAAATCTGAATGACTCAACCCCAAGTCCCATGTATTCCTCCATAAAGATACAGGAACACTCTTCTGACCACTTAAAAGCAAGCTGCCCTCACAGCTGTACGCTTCTTCATTTATACCACAAAGACTCACATCACACAGCATAAAATAATTATCAATTATACATAATTTTTGGACCTGCCTCTTAAAACTCCTAGAAGGAGGAATTTTCTTTACTCATATTTATTTTTAACATTAAAACAGGTATCATGGTGGCTTAACTCAATTTGTTTTTAGATAGACTAGCTTTTAATCATTCAGAAAGACTTGCCTTCATACTATCAAAGAAAAGTCATTGCCCTTCCTTGAAAAATTATGATTAAGCCTAATTTCCTTCCATACTCTAAAGGAAGAAGCTATCAGATGCTCATTCAGGAAGTTGCTAATGTCAGTGCAGTTAGTTACAGCCACCCAACAAGGGCTGGGTTGTAAGGCAAAGCAGTAGACAGGAACCTCTGCCAGCACAGCAGAAGGAGGAGGAGGTATACTTACATCAAGGGATCAGATACCCTAAGTAGACGATGCAGGATATAAATATAGGTTAATATCTAGTGTCAAGCAGAACATTTAATGGAGAGAAGCAGTCCTTGTGGGTTTCAAAAGTAAAAATAGGTTATAAAATAACTTTTTAAAAAGCTAGGTATTAAGAAGTGACACTATTTCTAAAGTCTTCATTGCCTTAATTATGACAATAGCCACACAAATCCAAAATTAGTATTATAACATCACAAAACTGCTAAAAGTGCTTCCATTTCTTCTGTTTACTACAGGTTTTGATAAGTGGCAGGACATGAATGTCACTGCCTCTACAAATGTCCCACAATCATAAGCACATTTCCAGAAGGAAACTGAAAAACAAGCCATAGAAACTTAGCTAATACCAGACAGGCAAGTCCCTGCTGCTAGAAATCTCAGGGGTGAAAACAATGAACACAATTAGACAGAATATAGTTAATTCAAATAAAGCAATTCAAGTCACCTTTTTGTTTTGTTTTGTTTTGTTTTGTTTTATTTACTAAACAGACACCTAGACTAGGGCTCATTCATTACCTGCCATATTCTAAAAGTGTAGCATGGATTCGAGATTCTTCATCAAGCAGCTCCTCTGCTCCCTGCTGACGTTTGTACTTCCGACGAGGCTTGTACACATCCTAAGTGGATGAGACAGACAAGTTACTGCATGGAGGAAGGCTCTCCTAAACAGGCTGCAGGATGCCTCCTTCCAGGCAGGGCTTCAGGTCTTTCCTGAATATAGTGAGTGCTTTTGCTGCAGGACAAGGCATTTAGGGAAGCTGCTTCTAGGATGCATATTCTGCAGGGAACAGAGAAAAGGTCTGTGAAAGCTGGGGAAAGACATGAACGGCACTTACAGTTACTCGAAATGATTTGTTTTTGCAAACACAGCACATTAGTGGCTACAAAAAAGGGGACTTCACTTTTAATCATTTATGACAATGATCAGTGTTCACTGAAAAATGTCCAAGTACATGAATTTATGGATCACCAACCCTGCCCAACAGCTTAACAGCTGGGTACCCTTTTATATCATTTACAGATGTGAAAACAGCCACTGTCTTTTTACTGTGACAAAAATAAAAATAATGGAACAAAACTCAGAAAATAACCAAATACTCTTCAGTTTTTTGTTGTGTTCTGTATTTACTTCGTTACTTAATTTTGTAAGTGGTTACATTCCTGTAAAAAGTTTCAAACAGTAAAAAGGATGCAATTTTTTAAAGAAGTCCCGCCTAACCCTCTCTTTCCCTAAATCTAATGTCTCTCCAGATACCACTGTCTAACAGGTGCACATCCTTCCAAGCCTTTGCAAATTTACATAATTACATGTATATCAGACATATTTTATTCATTTTTGGCAACACTGGTGGTTGAACTGAGGGCCTCTGCACTGAAATATCACACCACCAACACCCCTTTGTTTTTTTTTTTTTAATTTTTTTTTTAACATTTATTTAGTGTGTGTGTGTGTGTGTGTGTGTGTGTGTGGCCAGCTCAGCCCACCAGGGGGCGCGGCTGGCTGGCATGTGGTGTTGGAAGATCGAACCGCGGTCCCTGTGCTTTGCCAAGCTTGTTCCAAGTAGGTGCTTTAGACCACTGAGCCATCTCTCCAGCCCCAACATCCCTTTATTTGTTACTTGGAGCCAAGGTCTCCAAGTTGCCCAGGCTGGACTAAAACAAGTGATCCTACTGCTTTTGCCTCCTACCTGGCTTCACTTATTCCACAGATCGTTTATAAACAAAAAAATTTCACATCATTTTTATAGATTATATTTAGTGTATAGTTTACATTTGGACTTTTAATCTTATTAAAATGTTTTGGTATAATGAAAAGTTGAAACCCAACATTCTTTTCTGAATATAAAATTAAGAATCCCAACACTGTCAATTTAAAGCTCCATCCTGCTACAAATTTGAAATGGTACCTACAATAAACACCGAATTTCGTATGATATATCTCTTTGACTTGCTTTATGTCTCCCTATCTCATCTCTCCACTGTTCTTTTTTCAAATTTCTTACCTTATGTGTTTTTTCTACCTTCAACATGTCTACCTTAGTATCAGCCCATCAAGTTCACTTTAAAAAACTGTTGAATTTTTTTAGAATCACTCTAAATTTAAATTACTTTAGGAAGAACTGAGTCCTTTATATGAACTGCCACCTTGAGAAACAAGACTTTGATTTCTCCTCTGAGGTCTTTTTACTCTTGAACTCAAGCTTGAAAGTGAACAGTCATTATATAACCAAACCCTTCTACCATCCAGAGGCACAAAGCAGTTCTCCATCAGACATGTGTTCACTGAGTCCTAAAAATAAAATTTCTGTATGTCAAAGGAGATTTCAATTGATTTAGACTCTAATACCAGAAAAGTAGAGTGATTAAAAACATCCAGAGTTATGTAGCTTATATTTGGGGCGTACTGAGATGTTAATTGAGACTGGGTGTGGTGCCAGGCACCTGTAATCCCAGTACTTGGGAGGCTGAAGACAGAAGAATCATTAGTCCAATCTGTGTAGTGAGACCCTATAGACCCTGTACTAAATACATTAAAACCAACCAACAAACAAAAAAACAACAAACTCCTAGGCTCAACAAATCCCTGTACTTTGGCCTCGAGTCTCTTAAGAGGCTTGTGCAACTGCCTAGCTAGATAAAAATGTTTCAGATAAAAACATAGAAGTAAATATAGATCTTTGTAAAACATATATTTTGAAATGATTTCATACATGCACATATTGTATACATAGTAAGAGGTATATAAGTGGGTGCTCAATAAGTGTAGGCCTTTATCCCCAGGTGACCTGCTTTGTCATTCTACCCCAAATGAATGTAGTGGCATTTTATTCTAATTAGAATTGCCACTTCCACAATTCTGCTTATTTCTATTTTGAATTATAAAAAGTTTTGCACAATCTGTGACACACTATAAGATCTCAACAATTCTGTGCAACTGGGAAAGTAAAATGGTCTGGGTGATTCTGCAGGGCTGGTCTCACAAACTGCTGCCACAAATATTCTCTGCTTTGCCCCTGGTATTCACATGAATGGCAAGCTATAAATAGCATAGACATACAGTTAAGTGAAAAATGACACCATTATTGTGTATAATTTAATTTTCACTGAAAATGAATAGCCTGATTATAAATAAATACAAGAAAAATAGCTCTACTATTATAGGAGTGCTATATAATTGAGCTTAACTGTTATCTTCCTTAGTTACCATTGAGTCAATGACCTAAGACAGGAAACTAGGTCTAAAATCAGTCCTAAAAAAAGGACTGATTTTTAAAACAATAGAATACTGAAAATAATAGTCACAAGTACCTTTTATCATCCCAAACTACGACAATACTGGCATTTTATATACTTTCCATTCTAAAGTATAAACCTTCATACAAAGTTGAGAAAGAGCTGTATGAAGTTGAGAAAGAGAGTCCCTCCAAAAGCCCCAGGTTCCTTCTCTGAAAAAATGAGCATGGACTAACAAATCAGGGAGGGCATTCCCGGTCTCTCAGTCTTTGTGTTCTTTAAACCAATAAAGATATGGACTTGGTAACATAATTGTGTCAATAATTTCATGATTAATTTTTAAAAATCATGCTTTGTACAGGATTATGGTCTTTTAAAAATAGGTGTACAGAGTCAGGTCATTAACAGTGATCACAGTGGTAATAGCTGTCATTTATGAATAGTAGTTATGTGCCAGGAAGGTAGACTATGCTGTCCATTTGATTCTTATACATAGGAAGCTAGCTATCCTTGCTGTCTCTATAAAACTGAGGCAAACAAGTTACACTTGCCTGTGGGTATGAAGACAGTAAGTGACAGAGACAAGAAGACACCAGAATTAGGGGCTTGAACCTGCGAAGTCGCGCTGTAGAACCTAATGCATAAACCGCTACGCTCTCTCTCCAGCCTGGACACCAGAATTGGGACCCAGAAGAACTCTGTAAAATGTTTCATGTCTCAATTCTGACCTTACTTCATTATGGATTCCACTGTTTTGTCTTAGTAATGAAGGACGTATGGTTAAAAATAATAATACTAATGAGACCTTTTTGTAAAGTAGAGCACCCCTGCACCCTGAGAGTCAGGTCTCAATCTGCAGTTCTAGTTACCTGGTTCCATCTGTCAAGATGGACACCTCCAAATGGCAGTGCAGGGAAGTGGAACTCACTGCACCACTGCAGTGTCAGCAGCAAGTCCTGATCAAAACTGCTACGCAATTACCACAGACACCTACTTTACTGAAAATGGAGCAGGCTGTAAAACAGTCACTGTCAATCTGGCATTCCACACTCAAAAGCACTAGTGGGTCAGTGACACTCAACTCTCAGGAGGCAACATTTTCCTCCCTCTGTTACTTTAACTTCTGTGGCTTCCCATCTATAAAACAGGTAGGTCTAAGAAGAACTGTAAGGACTAACCAATACATTTAACAGTACCTGACACAGAAGGGGATGTACATACATCTACATTTTTCTATTATCCAAAATACATTGCTATATATAACATGCCTGTATATGGATGGGAATATGGTATTATTAGGAAAATGTACTCTGTTTTATTGTCACATCTACCTTTTATGAGCTAGATGAAAAGGTCTCCCTCACAGCATTCCCCACAGAAACACTGTGGCAGAAATTTTAAATGTTCTCTTAGATGATTAAGTAAATCCAACGAAGTATTTTCTTCCAATTGGAAGCTCTAAAAAGTCTCTTTTTCCTCTTCCTCCTCTTCTTCCTCCTCCCCTTATCCCTCCTCTTCCTCTTGTGTTCTCTATTCTCATTCCAAACATTACAAATATATATATGAGCTTTGGGTAAAATTTTGTAGGTCTTCCACATTTAAGAGCAAGTGTTATAGACTGTGTGTATTTGTCCCCCCAAAGCCTCAGGTAGTCATGGGGCAGGGGGGACTTCTAGAGTTTGTGATTAATTCATGATCCACTGGTATTGATGATCAGAGTCTAGAAATAAATCTACATGTGGACATAACCGAAAAATGTGTCCCAGGAATGTGTGGAAAGTAGAGACCAGGAAGAGTGGAAAATCAGAAGAAGCACCAGTCCCTATTGTGAAGGAGTCAGATATAGATCAAAATCTGTTGCCTCTTTGTTTCTCTGCAACTACAAAGGAAAATTATTAACCTTTCTATACTTCAATTTCCTGATTTTGAAAATGGGATTAATAAAATATCACTGTCAGGGCTGGGGAGAGAGCTCAGTGGTCTAAGCACCTGCCTGGCAAGTGCAAGGACCCAGCTTCAGTCCCGGTACTGCACGCCATGCCAGTCCTGGAACACTGGGCAAGTCTGAGAGGTGGGGCGAAACCATGTACCAAATAAATAAATAAGCAAATAAATGATTTAAAAAATTTAAAAAAATATATAACTCTCTGAGTGCTGGTAAGAGTTAATACCTCATTAGGTGCCAGGAACTCAGCAAATACACAGCAGCTATGTACTATGCATATTTTATAAAAGGCTGGGTCTGGAAACTAGACACCTTGACCATATTTTATTTTTTAACTTCACACTCACAATCCAAATTTGTGATTTTAATTTCTTCAATATGGAGCAGGCAAGCAACACCAACAGACATCTATAAGGCAGCACTGGACAAACAGCTGGAAAGGGATGAAAACACCCTACAGAAGTTAAACCTTACAAGAAAGACAGGTTTCCTTCCCTCTAAGAAAGCGGGGGTTTTCCTTGGGGCAAGTACAGCAAATAAACTGCAAGCTGTTTCCTTCATAATATGTGTACCACAGCCTTGGCATCTCCTGCACACTTCTGGGACTCATTTCAAGCCAGCTAAGGAAGTACACACGGAAGTGGCAGCAGAAATGGATGAACATTAGCTCAGCTGAGAAACCTGAGGCAGTTTGTGAATGAAGAAGTGATTTCGATATGTGAGAAAAGAAGAAAACAATGCCCAAAGATAACCTCTAGCCAATTCATAAACATTATTTACCATTTTTGCTAAACATGTTTGCCAGTCAAGTAAGAATTAAAGTTTACACATAAAGAAGAAAATTAAGAAATACAAATTCTAACCAAAGAGCCTATTTTTTTTTTTTTTTTTTTTTTGCTTTCCAATATTCTGATATGATTTTCTAATCAGTCACAAATAGTGTTTTAGAGGGTCATGGCAGAGCAATTAATCAGCTTTAATCATGGCTCTAGACAGGAACTTTGGGACTATGTGTTACTCAGTTTCCTCATTTGTAAAGAAATACTACTAATTAATGGGACTGCTGTGAGAACTAAGTGAATTACAAACATTTGGAATAATTTTGGGGGATCATGTCCATTATCATTATCATCTCAAATTCTTTGTTTACTTGCTTGTCTTTCTGAGACAGGGTTTTACTATGAGGTTCAGGCTGATCTTGAACACTCTACGCAGCCCAGGCTGGCCTCAGATTCATGGCAATCCTCCTGCTTCAGCCTTCCAAGTGTTGGGATTATAGCTAAGTAACACCCTGCCTAGCTATACCTCCTTAAATTCTATGCAGTCACATCACCAAGCAAAAGTAGATAAAAAAAAAAAAACAACTTCCATTACAAATGACCAAGAAAACATAATGTATCTAATGTTCTATAACTATTTCATAGGTTTAAGATGATACACGCCAGGCTCAATTTTATTGATAGTTCAACAGTTACATAAATCTTTCTAACTTCTGAGTCATGTGGCTGAATACCATATTTCAATATGGTCTCACACTGCACCCAAGGCTCAGAGTGAGATTTACATAAGAAGTTTATCCAGGTAAGCATTAAAATTTTAACTTGTAATTACTATTTTTGAACAGAAGACATACAAACAGTATGAAATTTAAATAGTACAGTTTTCAGCAAATATTTCTTTTCCCTTCTCTAGCTATCATACCCCCAATTTCCTATCTCAAAAATAATATTGTTACTCTTTCAAGACAAAAAATACTACCTAAGACAGGGGAAAGTAACAGCACAGCAAACTCTTTGATTATCCTTTTATGAGAAACACTGTTGAAGAGGAATCTTTAATAGTACATACAAGACCTTGTACACTGGTACTTTCATTCATAGATGTAATTCTTTCCATGATTCTGACAGCAAACCAAACTGGATGAGAACCAAATTAAATTCAATGGTTAGATTCAAATTTTTTTTTTTTTTTTTTTTTTAATACCAGGGATTGGACTCAGGACCTTGCACTTGCCAGGCAAGCACTTATTCCACTGAGCTATCTCTCCAGCCAGGTAGAGTCAATGTTAACCCTGTGGTTAATTCTTGTCCAATTCAGTTTGCGACTTGAATTATGCAAAGACTTAAGTCTGTGAACCAAAATATCAAGGTACTAAATTGGTAAGCAAAGAGAAAGTGACAAAATTATATTTAAATTATTCCAATTCAGTTACAATGCACATTAAAAATTCAGAAGAAATATAAAGATTTAAAATGGCTGTTTCAGGGCCAGCAAGACAGCTCAGTAGACTAAGCGCCTGTTTTGGCATGCACATGCCACGCTGGCCCCACACCCAGGATGTGCTGAGCCAGCTAAAAAGGCTGGGCACGGTGTTGCTGCCTATAATCTCAGCACCTGGGAGGCTGAAAACAGAAGGATCACTATGAGTCTGAACCATGTGGTGAGACCCTATACCAAATGCATAAATGGAAAAATAAAATGACTGTTTCTGTTATATTAAAACTCATTTTCCTATAGTATCTCCAAACTCTTTTAAAAAAACCTTAAGAATATTTATACTTCAACACTATTTCATAATTGAACAAAATTATCATGGCATCATATTTTTTTCTTATTTAATACTGCATCAACTCTGAAAATAGTGTCACTATTTTAAAGGTTTTTCATCCCTTCCATTTCCATAATATAACCGAGGAAAACTCACGGATCACAATTATAAAGTGTAATAAAGACCTTCTAGTTTTACATGAGCACTTCATGTTTTTCATCAGCAAGTGAATATTGTTCTTTTCAGACTAAACTTATTCTTAAGGTAAGCCATTTTAGAATTATTTTTCCAGAAAGATTGCACAGCTAGTTCACAAAGCCATAAATGGCAGACAAATCCAATTCTTAACTTACAATGCTATCCAAATCACCTACATAAAAATGTGTATCTGATATTGAAGCTGGGCAGCATATTAATAGACAGTGCAACTACAAAAATCAACTAATGCTACATACATAAACCTAGCTGAATCTTACAAACAACACTAAGTAAAACTTTAGGCACCATACAATTTAGATGGCCTAAACAAAATGCAGAATAGTACTATCCATTGTTTCTGCAAGAGTATACACCGAGGCACAAGGACTTCAATCCTGTCGGAGATGGGAAAAAGTACTGCTAACAATGATCACTTGGCTCTGGTTTGCAGTGTTTAGAAAAGCACCAGCTTGTCAGGGATAATGGTACACATCTGTAATACCAACACTCAGTGGCTGAGACAGGAGGACTGCTAGGAATTCAAGATTAACATGGGCTATTACACAATGAGTTCAAGGCCAGCCTGAACTACACAATGAGATCCTGTCTCAAAAAAAGAAATGCTGGGGAATGGGCACAGGTGTAGAGACTTGCAGTCATTAAAGTGCACTGTGTATGGTGAAAAAGGCCACCCCATAGTTCCCCACACAAGACTCAGAAACTGCTGTCTCTTCAGAGTCATAGAGAGAATGGATATGCAGCATTACCCTCAATTTATCATTTCCAGTTCATCATCTGCCTTTCGAGCTATTCAAACTTTATTCCTGATCCTGGAATAAATGAGAAAGCACTTTGCATTTGGGCATTTCTCCTTTACAACTGAAAGCAAGCTCTCAGGCACTGGTGGTAGGAGACCATCTGTAGATAGTGGTCTCCTAGCACTGAGCACATTGCAACAGCCTGGGCTTCCCTCAAACACCCATTGAAACTCAGCTCATGGGCAATCCAAGCAGCTGATTGATGAGTCAAACAATGGGCTTCTAGAGACTATGCGGTGCAGAGACAGAAGAGTAGGGCAAGGAACTTACTGAGAGGTTGACCACTGTCTTGATAGCCTTGTCTTTTCTCTTTACAAAGTCATCATCCTGAAAGACAAACACAGTAATTAAGCAGATCCCATAGAAAGATTAAAACTCAACAGGACTCCTCAAAAAATCTTCCTCATAAACTTTATCACTGTATTAGCTTAAGCCATATCAATTTTCTAACAAACTGGAATATACTGTATTCTCTAAGGAAAAAAGTGGAATCTCTGCAGATGCTTCCAGCACAGATCTGTTCGGCCAGTAAGAAGGAGGGCCATGGAGTGCAACAGTTAATGCAACTTACCATGGCAAAGAAAAGAACAATAGTTGCTATTAGATAGGATAAAAGGCATATGACATGTTGGCATTCAGTAAGAATTTCATAGCGCTTAGCTATTATTACTGTTAATTATTATAAATCATTACTATAAAAATGTTTTAAGCAAATAATCTCTCAAAAAGTTTACATAGAGTGCCTGCTTGGGCAAGAACAGGGACCAGGATTTGATCCCTGGTACCACATACCACGCCAGCCTTGCACCCAGACGCACTGAACCAGCCACCAAGACTGGGCATCATGGCATATGCCTGTAATCTCAGTGCTGGGGAGGCTGAAAAGAATACGATTATGAGTCTGAGCTGCATAGTGAGACCCTGTACCAAATACATTAAAAAATTAAATAAATAAATAAAAATTTTAAAAACTTTACAGAATATTCACTGTATTCTCAGTTCTGTAGGTACCACAGACTGATATTGAGAATTCTGAAAATCCTTTTTTTTTTTTTTTTTTTTTTTTTGAGGAACCAAGGATTGAACTCAGGCCCTTGCACTTGCCAGGGAAGAGATTATTCCACTGAGCCATCTCCC